CGGTATGTAAATTGGCTTCGTTTTCCCCAATAAATTCAGAGGAGGAGGAGGCTGTTCGGAAGAGCTGACATGCCTCCCCCCTTCGGAGGAGCTGTGTCGGTATGTAAATTGGCTTCGTTTTCCCCAATAAATTCAGAGGAGGAGGAGGCTGTTCGGAAGAGCTGACATGCCTCCCCCCTTCGGAGGAGCTGTGTCGGTATGGAAATTGGCCTCGTTTTCCGGAGCTAAAGAGAAGTCCTTTTCCTCCTCTGACCTTCTGCCGAAAGCCCATTTTGGTAAGAGGAGTTTTGGCCGGACGCCGGAGAAGAGAAACCAGCAGCAGCCAAGAAGTCAACACAACGAGGCCTTTTATCTTGCGGTATATTCCGGGAAGAAGGAAAAATACGCCTCGATCCTTCCTTTCGCGACGGAGAAGAGGGCCTTCTAAAGAAGACCACCACTTGGGCGGCTCACAACCCAAGTCAAAAGGGGGGGGGGTACAAATAAGGAATTAAAAAAGACGAACAGAACAATACACAATTTAAAAGCACACAACCACCATACCATTCAAGGGGGGGGGGGACAAAAGCTCATTAGCCCCAGGCCTGTCGGAACAGCCAAGTTTTTAGGGCTTTACGGAAGGCCTGGAGGGTGGTGACCTTGTCTTAACTGGACCCCACAAACATAGAGAAATAAAGAGGTGGATGGGACCTTGGAGGTCTTCTAGTCCAACCCGCCTTGCTCAAGGCAAGAGACCGTATAGTACCACTCCAATACAATGGTTGTCTACGTTTGAAAGCCTTGAGTGATGGAAGACCCATAAGATTGCCAGGGCCACGAAAGCAAGGAAGTCAACAGCCTTGGGTCGAACAATAAAGTTACTGAGAAGCTCCCTCAATAGTTACCCAGCAACCAACCAGATCGGAGTCCAAGGTCTTCTGAGAAATATGGGTCGTTTTAACTTTCCTGGAAAGACTTATAAAGATAATTCTAGAGTTACATTCGGGAAAGTTTTCCATAAAAAACATGAGTCATGAAGAGGAAAGCCAAGAGCTTGGACCTCTGAGTGGCTCAAGAAATTGTTCCGCCATCCCAAAATTTACTAGGAGAGAAGAAGCTTCATCAGATGTTGTTGGCCAACAGAGATGTGGTAATTTTATCCAGTCATATATAGAGATGATAGATAGATAGATAGATAGATAGATAGATAGATAGAT